CAAAAAATAAAATGCTGGCGACATAGTTCAGTGACACAGTGTCCCTGGGTTTAATCCCCAGTACCCAACAAAAGTGCTTGCTCAGCAAGAGTGAAAACCTGGGTTCAATTCCCAGCACAGCAAAAAACAAAACAGGGTGGGTGTGGTAGCGCAGGCCTGTAATCCCAGTGGCTAGGGAAGCTGAGGCAAGAGGATTGCAACTTCAAAGCCAGTGAGGCTCTAAGCAACTCAGTGAGATCCTGTCTCTAAATAAAATACAAGGAAGGGGTGGGGATGTGGCTCAGTGGTTAAACACCCCTCAGTTCAATCCTAGGTACTATATATATATATATATATATATATATATAGAGAGAGAGAGAGAGAGAGAGAGAGAGAAAACAAAACAAAAAAGGGAGAAGGGAGATGTAATTGACAAAGCTAGGTGACTGGATAACGTGGGGTAGAGTAAAAGGGAAGATCTACACTTCTAGGTTTTTTTTTTTTGTACCAGGAATTGAACCCAGGAGCACTTAAACACTGAACTGTATTCCTCCTAGCCCTTTACTTTTTGAGACAGGGTCTCACTAAGTTGCTTAGGGCCTTGCTAAATTGATGAAGCTGATCTCTAATTTGCAATCCCCCTCCCTTAGCCTCTCAAGTCACTGGGATTACATGTGTGGGCCACCATGCCTGGCCATTTCTAGCTTTTCTAGTATGAGCAATCAGATAAATGATGAAGAGGTGAAGCAGAACAGGTTTTGTGTTTCAGATCATAAGTTCACATTTGGATATGTGAATCAGAGGCTCTTAGGTAGCCACCTGTAGGAGGAATACAGGAGGCAGAGGAGAATCCAAGTTTGATTTTTTGAACACTGAACAATTTTAATCTTTATGTGATGATTCAGTACATTGTAGAGTTTTTGACTGACTTCAGGTTACCATTACAAACCTCAATTTTCAATATGCCCAGTGAAGTATGATTATATCAGGGAACCCAAGTTCTAAGCTGGGAATAATTCTTGGGAGTCTTTTGCTTATCAGATGGTAATTAGAATGCACAAGAATATGATAAATTATGGGAGCCTTAGAGATTAGTGTTCTTTTCTTTTGAGATGTTTTTAGACAAATTAGCAGAAATGCTTACAATACAAGTGCTTTCTGGTTACAATGTGGCTTCCCTACCTCACCTAGATGTTTTTTAATAACCTCCCGCTATTTCTAGCTCATGAATGAAGGGTCCATGTGAAAGTCCCAGAAACTTCATTAGTTTCAGGCTATTTACCTCTGTCCTTGAGAACACACTGGATGAGAGACGGCAATTGAGGAAAGAATCCTTAGGCACCCCAACAATTGATGGAGGGGGGTCCAAGCCAAAAAGGTAGGAGAAGCTTGGGAAAGGCCAGCTTCAGAGAAGGCAAGGGGTATGCTCTTCACAGGCCCCTCATTGCCAAGTTCGAATTCTTCCTTTCTCTTTTCCCCATCTCCACTGCCACCTCCTGGCAAAAGGCTTCCATTACACTGGGTGATGTTCACAACCTCCCCATCTCCAGCCTTCAGGTATTACAGCCATCCTGTTAGATTAGTCTTTGTAAAGTGGATCTCTAACCTGGCCAATCCCCTGCTCAACAACTTTCAGTAGTTCCTTCTCATTCCAAAAGGCCCATACCTAACCTATACATGCTGGGTCTTTACCAATCTGGGTCCAAGTGACTTCCCTAACATCTTTTTTTTTTTTTTTCAATTCTTTTAGTTGTAGATGGACACGATAACTTTATCTGTTTTTATGTGGCGCTGAGGATTGAACCTGTGACTCACATGTGCTAGGCAAGCACTTTACCACTGAGTCAGAACCCCAACCCTTAAAAAAAAATTTTTTTTAGATGTTGATGAACCTTTATTCATTTATTTATATGCAGTGCTGAGAATTGAACCCAGTGCCTCACACCTGCTAGGCAAGTGCCTTACCATCAAGCCACAACCCCAGCCCTCTTAATGTCTGAGTATCCAACTCAACCTTTGGTGAGTTCTTTAACAACTCTTCTCCTGATGTAGCAGAACATTCTGCCATGATTTTTATCAAGCTCACGGCTCATCCCCAAATGAGAACAAGTAATCTTTTTTTTTTTTTTTTTGAGCTGGAGTCTTGCTATGTTGCTGGTCTCTAACTCCCGGCTCAAGCAATCTTCCTGTCTCAGCTTCCTGAGTAGCTGGGACTATAGGTGTGCACCAACACACCCTGCAAGATTAAATTCTTGAGAGCAAGGACTGTGCCATCTTCCTTCCTGTCTTTGTCAGTGCACCCAGCAGAGAGTCTGACATGAAATGGCATAGAGGAAATACTATTCAGGAGAGTGTGCTCACCAACATCCATATGCAAGAGATGATGCAAATTCCACTGCTTTCAAGAGCCACACAGAGAGGGGTGGGAGGGGAAGGGAGGGGCAGGGGGTTAGCAATGACGGTGGAATGTGATGGACATCATTATCCAAAGTACATGTATGAAGACATGAATTGGTGTGAATATACTTTATAAACAGAGATATGAAAATTTGTGTTCTATATGTGAAATAAGAATTGTGATGCATTCTGCTGTCATGTATTTAAAAAATAAAAGCAATAAAAAAAGAGCCAAATTTGACATATGGCAAATGTGTTAAGTTGCCCAGTGCAAAGGAATTGGGAATGGTGAGGTGCAAGTAAGTTGGAGACCTTATTCTCCTCCTGGAACTTCTGCTAATACTGAGAACATTTAAACACTGTGTAGTGGGCTGGGAATGTGGTTCAGTGGTTAAGTTCCCTGGGGTTCAATCCTCAGTACCAAAAAACAAACAAATAGATAAACAAAAAACAACACTGTATAGGGCTTCGGATGTAGCTCAGCGGTAGGCACATAATGCCTATTATGTGCAAATAGGTAGGCACATAATGCCTATTATGTGCAAAGCCCTGGGTTCAATCCCCAGTACTGCAGAACACACACACAAACTATTTAAAGCATATACTGTAAGTTTAAGACTTTGAAATAGAGGTCCTAAAAACATTCTGCATTCAGAAGGTTCTTTGGGGCTTTCAAGTAATTTTACATCAGAGACTCTACCCCCATGTTATAGATCAGGAAACCGGGGATCAGAGAAGTGAAATCTCAAGGTTACTAACAAGGAATTAGTAGCACAACGCTAAGTCCAACTCACTCAGACTCTACCTGACTTCCTCTCTTGTAAGTGTAATGGGAGGAGGTCTATAAAGATGGGCATTGCTGGCAATGTAGCTTAGAGGTAGAGTGTGCCAGAGGCCCTGGGTTCAAGCCCCAGCACCCCCTCCCCCCAAAAAAAAAGACGGGTATCATTCACTTTTTATTCAACTAAAACATCTGTAAAAGGAACCAACAATATCTTTTTCGCAGGGAAGGGCTAAACTGTATGAAAAGGAAGAGTCGAATTTTTTTTTAGGGTTTCCTAACCTGGTCTCCCAAGGTAGTAAAATTTTGTGAGACCATGTTTGGCTACAAGTGTTGGCTTTGGGCTATGTCGCTGTGGTTAACCTCTGAGTCTCAATTCATTTGTAAAATGGAGATCTGTTTGAAGATTTTATTTGCTATTAAAAGAGACAAAATAGCCTCACTTGAAGGTAGCTGTTATTGTACTATTCCGGGGTGAGGTTATCAGATTTTCAAAGGGTTCTTAACCTAGAAAGTTTGCGAACAAATGACATAGGTGCTATGGGGAGCTATGGGTAAACTATTCTGACATTTAAGGAACAGCTGTTAAAAGAAGGCTTCCATAAAAGTTAGGAGGACTTAGTTTCGCTAACTTGCTGTATCTCACTGGGGGATCTGTTTTTTAAAAAAGTGAGTGGAGATGACAGTGGTCGGAGTTGGAAGCCGCAATGCAGCCCCAAAAAGCTTCAGCAGCGCGTCTTGAGAAGCTCGGCTGAATGCCGGCCAACGCGGAGCCTCGAGGGGACTACATCTCCCAGCTTGCTTTGCGCATCGGGCTGCGCCCTGCGCTAATAGAACGCGAGGCTTCTCGTTTCCCCAACCTCCAGTTACTGTCTCTCGCGAGACGACGGGCCGCGCCGGCGGTAGCGATAGCGAGCAGTGGTGGTTGTGGTGGTGGTGGCGGCCGAGACGGTGGCGGCCATTTTGGTGAGGCCTCGGGAGCGGCGGCGGCGGTTCGCTGGGAGTAGCGTCTCCCTTTTTTCCAACCCACTGCCCGCATCTCTGTGCTGTGAGAAGAGGCAGTGGAAACAAGCGGTGGCAATAGCCGCGGTCCCCAAGGGAATTTAAAGGCTGTGAAGGCGGCGGCCAAGAGGGGGCCCTCCCCCCTCCTTGGCGGGAGGGGGGGTGGTGCACACGCCCCCGAGGACGCAGGTAAGGAGAGGGAGACAAGATGGCGGACGCTCCGCAGTTCCCCCTCCCCTGACGGGTGATTGCGCGCGCATCTTTCCGCCACCGCCTCCCTCCCACCTTCCCGGAGTGCTGCGCGCGCACCTTCAGCCGGGGCCCCGGGGCCGGTGCGCGAGGCTGTCGGCGCGCGCCCATAGAGACAGACTGAGGGGGCCTGTCCGGCCAGCACTGGGCCCCAGCGCGTCTCGTCTCCTCTCCCGCCCTTCTGCGCACGCGTGCCTGAGCGAGCAAGCCCTGAGAGGACGGACCCAGGTGCGCTCCTGCCCGCCCACCAACCCAGTGCCCCCTCAGGGGCGCGCGGGAAGAGGAAGGGGGGCGTGGGACGAGTGGTCGGGGCGCGCGCCCACCATATCCAGTCATTGGACCAGGGCCTGGTGGCACGAACCCTCCCACCTCTCAGCTTTTCGCAGTCTATTGATGGGGGGGTGCTCCCTGACGGGCGTGGACGAGGGACTTTCCAGTCCTGCGACCCTTGTGTGCGTGGGTTTGGGTTCTGGCGGGAGCCCCCGGGCCGTGCGCGCTGCCGGCTCGCTCCGCCTCCAGGCGCGCACGCGCGGGCCCCTCCCCCAGTCTGGCGCGCACGTTGGGTGGGGTGGGAGTCGAGGAGGGGGCGGGGCTATCAGGGCTAGTGGCAACTTGGGCAGAGGTCAGGGGTCACGCTGGGTCAGTCTGCTGGGAGGGGTTGGGAGATGGTAATGAACACTGGGGTCAAGAGTTCAGGCTTCTTGGAGTCTGGTTAACTTGGGTCCTGGAAATCTGTTGTGGAGGAGGGACTGAATCAAAAGAGGCACCGTGGTTAAGGAATTTCCTTAAACACGGGAGGGGGGGGTGACACTTCCGGGACTTTTGGGGGTTAACTTTGCTTGCTTGTTTCCGGAGCATGGTTCTTCATTGTGATCCTTTCTCACATCCTATTGCTTCCTAAGTATCTTGCTATAGTTCTAGGTTCTGGGGAAGTGTATAAGATTCAGGATGGGTCTTAAATCCTGAGTAGATCTTGTTGCCAGTATGTTTGCTTATTCACTGAGAATTCCATTCATTTTCCTGGTTTGTTCAGTTCACTGAAAAAGCAGCATCATTTTGAGCTTCTGGATGTGACAGCTAGTTTTGTTTGCTTTCATTCCATGATTGGAGCTTTTACTTTTAAACTTTTTAACTCTTTTTTTTTTTTTGCTTTGCTTCTTCTCTGTTCCTACTTCCCATCCTGTATTTTATTTCCTAAGGAATTCTGTTTTGTATGAAACATAATTTGCTTTTATTTTTCTGAATTTTCTACTACTTCAAGACTGATTTGGGTATATTTAAAAGCCTTAAAAAGCTGGAGTAAAAATAAGCTTTTGGAGGATGTTGGCAAATGTGAATTGTTTCCTTACTGCTGCTGTTCTCCCCTTCTATTTTAGGTGTAATTCCCCTCAGTACGGCAGCACCGTGGAAGTGCAGACTTTAACAGGGGGTGTGGTCTCAGCTCACACAGGTGAGGGTTCAGATACCATTTTGTGTACACATGCTAATGGGAAGAAATGTGTGAGATGGTGCAAGAAATTGCAGGTTAATACTTGTAAATTTTTGCTCTGCAGAACTATGGGGATATTTGCATGTGAATTTTTTTTAGTGTTTTTGATGATAGTGGTCCAACAACAGAGCTGGGGCTGTGGATAGAGGAAGATCTGGTCACCTTGGCTTCACCAGTTAGAGTAGCAAGTTCTCTGTGGGTTTGGCATGAGACTACCTGGATTTAATTCTGCTGCTTCCTTAATGTATGACTTTATTTAAGTCATTTGATCTGTATCCTTGTTTCCTAATTTTTGAAATAGATATAACATTGGAGCATAACTTCCATTTAGGTCAGGGATCTTTTCTCAATGGCTTTATTCTCAGTTTTCAGTGTATAGAAGGAAATAAATATTTATGTTATGAAAGGCACCTGATTCAAAAGGAAGATATGAAGATTTTAGAACACATCAAGCATGCTTTATAAAATATCTGACACGGAAATAGTAAATGCTTAAGAAACATAAGCTATAAGGACTGTATTTTCCTGGCTTTTAAAAAAAGATTTAAAAAACTTTCTTACCTCTCTTTTACTCAACTTTAGGTGCTCCAGAGGCTGGTGGACCTGAGCGGAGACTGGGACGCCCTGGTGGGCCCCGGGCCCTGGAAGGTGGGTCCCGGTGGCCGGTGGCCCAGAATGAGGCCAGCTCCCAGCATGCCCTGCAGCCGGACGCCATCCCCTCGGCGTGCAGCAGTGGTGATAACGACCCAGTCATTCTTCAGGCATCCAACAGGGAGCCTGGGAGTGGGACCATGCAGAGCAGCCCCTCCTCTGCTCATCCTCAGCTCCCAGTCCTACATACACAGGTTTGAAAATGGAGAGGGTTCCTTTTCTGCTTCTGCTTTGTGGACTGCTGGCTTTGAGGCAGAAGAAATGTGGCAGATCCTAGCTACCCAAGTAGCTGATTCTGGAGAATCTTTGGTGCTCATTCAGGTGGACTGGGCTGTAGTATGTTAATCCTGTTGGATACTCACATTATAATGCAGTATTGACCTCCAAGAGGGCAGAGCTCTATACTACCTGAAAAAGGTTGAGTTAGGCCAGGTGGGAAATGGAGGTTGGGCTTCATGCTTTCAAGACTGTATGCTTTACCAGTGGTTTGACCTCTTTGGGAACTAGAAAAGAGTAAAGTCTCATGTGTGGCATTTACTTTTCTCTGATACCAAAGAAGCGTGTAGGGTAGGAAAAAAGCATTACTTTTTTTTTTTTAATTTGTAGTTGTAGATGGACACAACACCTCCATTTTATCCATTTATTTCTTTGTGGTGCTGAGGATCGAACCCAGCGCCTCACACATGGTAGGCAAATTCACCACCACCAAGCCCCAGGCCCAGCCCCAGCCCCCAAGTGCATTACTTTTCAGACTCAATAGATCTAGGTTTGTGAACAGTAGGGTTTTTTTTTGTTGTTGTTCTGGAGATTGAACCCAGGGGCACTTAACACAAGCCACATCCCCAGATCTTTTTTATATTTTATTTAAGGATGGTCTTGCTGAGTTGCTTATGGCCTTGCTAAGTTGGTGAGGCTGGCTTTGAAATCACAATCCCCCTGAGCCACTGGGATTATAGGCATTTGCTACCACACTTGGCCTTTTCTTCTTTTTTTTTTTTTTTTCCCCTAACAGTAGATTTTTGGAGTGTATGGATTTCATATTCCAGTTTTTTCTTTTCTTTTTAAAATAACTTTTATTTTTTTAGTGTAGTGTTGAGGATTGAACCCAGTGCCTCACATATGCTAGGCAAGCACTCTACCACTGAGCTGAACTCCAGCCCCTGTATTTGATCTTTAGCAATTGGTAAAATGTGTCACTTAGCTGAGGTAGGAATTTGTTGTACTGTAAGGTTTGTGTGTTGGAGTGAAATTCATGAGTTCCCTGAGGATTCATATTTTAGTAGAACTTTATTTTGTATATCTTATGCATTACTTTGTAAAGTAATATGTAGATGTTTGAGAACACTATCCATCTCCAACCCCACATCCCCAGTGTGAAGAGTTTTTTTCTAGTGTCTCTTGATTTTAGTGGTAACTCAGATTTATTGCATAGGACTATAAAATTGCCACTACCATCTTGAGCAACTTGTTAAAATTTCATCTTAATTTTTTTTTAAACGAGATTGATAATCTTATTCCAGAATTTTGTATGAAAATGGGATAGAATAATATACTTAAAACATTTAACACGGTACATTCATTTTCTTCATCATTTTTCCATTTTCTAGATGGTGTCGGACGGCATGACAGGCAGCAATCCTGTGTCCCCTGCCTCATCTAGTTCCCCAGCCTCTAGTGGGGCAGGCGGCATCTCCCCCCAGCACATAGCTCAAGATTCCTCTCTGGATGGACCTCCAGGCCCCCCAGATAGTGCCACAGTGCCCTTGGAGGGGCTCAGTTTACCACAGGCTGCTGACCTGGCTAACAGGGGCCCAAAGTGGGAGAAGAGCCATGCTGAAATTGCAGAGCAGGCCAAGCATGTATGTACTAAGAAAACTCATGAGAATTTTTAGGAGTCTTCTCTTAATTTCCATGTCCATGGGTATATGTATATTGTATAACTATTTCTTATGGATTTAGTATGGACTCTTTATTAATTTATATCATTTTGAGCAAATTGCTTGAGCTTGAATTTTTTTTTTTAAATAATTTTTTTTAGTGGTAGGTAGACACAATACTTTTATTTTATTTTTATGTGGTGCTGAGAATTGAACCCAGTGCCTCACACGTACTAGACAAGCACTCTACTACCACTGAGCCATAACCCCAGTTCTGGAACTTGAATTCTAAGCAATGTTTTGTTTTTTTTTTTTTTTGGAGGTGGGTCCTCACTGTGTTGCTCAGGCTAGCCTTGAACTTGTGTTCCTCCTGCCTCAGCCTTCTGAATAGCTGCGATTACAGGCATGCATCATCATTCTTTTTTATTAAAATAGGGATAGGGATGGTGTGAGATTTACTGTAGAATTTTTAAAAATTTTTTTGTACTGAGGATTGAACCTAGGGGTGCTTAAACACTGAACCACATCCCCAGACCTTTTTTATATTTTATTTGGAGACAGGGTCTCACTGCCTCAGCCTCCTGAGTTGCTGAGATTACAGGAATGCACTACTGTGTCTAGCTTCTTTGTCTTTCCTTTCTTCCTTTTTTTCTTTCTTTCTCTTTGGTACCAGGGATTGAACTCAGGGGCATTGAGTCTCTGAGCCACATCCCCCAGCCCTATATTGTATTTTATTAAGAGACAGGGTCTCACTGAGTTGCTTAGTGCCTCACTTTTGTTGAGGCTGGCTTTGAACTTGCGATCCTCCTGTCTCAGCCTCCCAAGTTGCTGGGATTTCTTTCTTTCTTTTTTTTTTTTGAGCAGAGCTGGGATTGAGCCCAGGGTTTCACGAGTACTAGAGAGGTATTCCTCCACACAACTACATCCTGGCTCTGTTACGAGGTTTAAATTAAAGAAGGAATTAGACATGAAAGTGCTTTGTAAATGATGATGCTCACGGGTTTGTACTTATTTGTACTTATTATTTCAGTATTGCAACTTGTTTTATTTATGTAGTGGTATGTGGTCCCTGGGAACTTGTTAGAGAAATAGGTTTTTTTCCTTTTTTTTTAAATATTTATGTTTTAGTTGTAGTTGCACAGAATACCTTTATTTATAGGCAGTGCTGAAGATTGAACCCAGGGCCTCACACATGCTAGGCAAGTGCTCTACCACTGAGCCACAACCCCCAGCCCTGTCTTGGATTTTTTAAACCACCGCTATTAAAACATTTCAGAGGGTTTTAATGTTTATCTTACTACAAATTTAATCAATGTAGAAATTTTAGTAATGATGACTATCTCATT